GATGCCATTGGCCGTGTTGATTTGATTCCTATTGAGGAGCAGAAGAAGGCCATTGAAGGCGCTGCTGGTGATGCCACTGATAAGGTCGGTGGCGCTAAGGATGATCTTGAGGATCAATACGAAGATGCTCAGGATGGTCTCTCCACCGAACAGGCTAAGAGCACCGTTGATGGTGTCGCCGATGAGGCCGAAGACGAGGTTTCTGACGTCGAAGGAACTGTCGACAAGGCTAAGTCTACTGCTGAAGATGTTGCTCCCGACGCCGAAGACGCTACCGATGCTGTGGACGGTGTTGTCGACGACGCGAAGGACACCGCTGAAGATGGCAAAATTAACCTCGAAGACAATGTCGAAGGCGCTAAGGATGCCGTCGAAGACGCTGGTGAAGAAGTCACGGATACCCTTGATGAGAAGGCCGAGGGTGCCAAAGACACCGCCGAAGATACCACTGATAACGCTAAGGAAACCGCCGAAGACGCGGTTGAAGATGCTGAGGAGACCGCTGGGGATGCTGCCGAAGAGGTCGAGCAACAAATCCCCGGCCTCGAGACCCTCGAAGGGCTGCCATGCAACAAACTCGGCTACATCATCGACAAATCTACCGGCAAGCCCGTTGGCCAACTCACCGAAGGCGACGCTAAGAAACTATCCAAGCTCGGTGCCACACTAGACGACAAGGGCCAGTTCTGGGATAACCGCGGCAACGTGATCGGCCAAGCCAAGGCCCTCCCGGTTGAGGAGGACGATGGCGAAGAAGGCCCCTTCTCCGGTCTGGAAGGCCTCGTCGTCGGCGAAGACGGTTTTGTCGAAGACGAGAACTCGACCCGCGTTGGCCGTTTGATCGAAGGCGATGCGAAGAAGCTGAGCGGTCGTGGCGTTGACGAAGATGGCGAAATCCTCGACCGAAAGGGTAACGTCATTGGACGCGCTGAGCGCCTCGAACCTGAGGAGGAGCCTGAGGAGGAGGAAGAGGTTGGACCTGATTTCTCTGCTGTCAATGGTCTCTCCTGCAACAAGGCTGGTTATGTCATCGGACCCGATGGGTATCCCATTGCTCGTGTTGTCGAGGGCAATCCCAAGGAGCTTGTCGGTAAGAAGATCGAAGACGGCGAGATCTACGACGGGAAGAAGGTCGTTGGCCGTGTAGAGCTCATTCCCGATGATGAGCTCGAGAGCAAGCCTGAAGGCCCCTTCGCTGGCATGGACAGCCTCTATGTGACTAAGGATGGATTCGTCGAGGATGACGAGGGATCCATTGTTGGCAAGCTTATTGAAGGTGACGCCAAGAAGCTGCGTGGTCGTGCTGTCGACGAGGATGGTGAGATCACCGATAAGTACGGCAATGTCAAGGGCCGTGCTGAGCCTTACGAACCTCCCCAGGAAGAGGCCCCCGCCGAGGAGGACCTCTCTATCCTCGACGGCAAGGTTGTCAACAAGTCTGGTAACGTTGTTGACCCAGCTACTGGTGCTGTTGTCGGACGCATCGTCGAAGGGGATAAACGACTCGCTGGATGCAAGGTCGACGGCAAGGGCCAGATCTGGGGTGACAATGGCAAGGTTGTTGGACGCGCCGAGCTTATTCCCGGTGCCGAGCAGCACAAGGCCGAGGGACCATTCTACGGCTTCGACAACGCTGTCGTCGGTAAGGATGGAGTCGTCCAGGATGGCGATAAGGTCATCGGACGTCTGATTGAAGGCGACGCCAAACGCCTTCTCGGCCGCAAGGTTGACGAAGACGGTGATGTTCTCGACAAGAACGGCAACACCATCGGCAAGGCCGAGCGCTGGGAGCCCGAGGAGAAGAAGCGCGATGTTAACCCCATGTCTGGGCGCAAGATCACCAAGGAGGGCGAAGTCCGCGATGCAGACGGCAACCTCATTGGGAAGCTTACCTCGGGTAACCTCGCCACACTAGTCGGCAAGACCATCGATGACAATGGCTATGTTGTTGACAACGATGGCAACAAGATTGGCGAATGCACCTTGCTTGAGAACATCCCAGAGCCTGAGCCTGAGGAGCCCGAAGAGGAGGAAGAGGAGGGCCCAACGGCCGAAGAGCAGGAGGCTGCGGCAAAGGCAGAGTCCGACCGCCAGCTCGCTGAGAAGATGATCTCCATCCTCAGCCAGACTCTCGATCGAGTTAAGCCTGTTTGCAAGCAGATCGAAGAGGTAAGTTCCCACCCAATATGTGAATTCTGTGAAAGCAACAGTACTAACACAACATCTAGGCTTGTGAAAAAGCCGACCGCACCCCTAAGGAGGAACTTGACGAGGAAAAGCTTGTTCAAACCGTCAAGCCGCTCCTCGAAGAAGGCGGCCGCATTCTGCAAGAGTGTAACGGAGCCATCCGGGCGCTCGACCCTGATGGACGCATCGCCGCGACCGCTAAGGCGCGCGCTGCTTCCCGCGATGCCACCCCCGAGGAGTACCAGCTTGCCGACATGATCAAGGAGCTCACCGAGACGGTCATTAAGACCATTGATAACGGCAAGAGACGCATCGCCGATATGCCTCATGCTAAGAAGAAGCTGAGCCCCCTCTGGGGTCTGCTCTCTGAGCCATTGTTCCAGATCATCGCTGCCGTTGGCTTGTTGCTCAACGGTGTGCTTGGACTTGTTGGTCGTCTCCTTGATGGGCTTGGTCTTGGTGGATTGTTGAATGGTCTGCTTGGCAGTCTTGGATTGGACAAGTTGATTAATGGACTTGGTCTGGGTAGTTTGACTGATGCTCTCGGACTTGGAAAGAAATAAAAATTTGGGATGAAGTTGGTTTGAACTGCTTGTTGGCGGTGCTTTTGTGACTTTATCTGTTTTTGCTAGCGTTGATTGCTTTAGTTGCGATGTACTTTTCTAATTCCCTGTACTATGAACTCTCTCCAGATTAATGAACTTGAACTTGATTTTGATTCATTTTGATCTATTCACAAATATTAATAGTCTCGTAAGTACAGGTATGCAGAATAGCAGGGTACAATTCCCATGCTTGGTTTCATCAAAATCCATCCCTCGGGGAGTTGTTATCTCTCATCAGATCAAGATAATAACGCATGTGTAGAAGGAATGGACATGTTCATAATTACAATGAGGTTGAACATTTAAACGATGCACCGCTTAGGGCGCTTTTGTGGCAACTCCCAACGGGGGAATTGCCCAATTGGACAAGTGTCGATCGTCGAGTCTTGCGTAGAAGATGGCGTGGCGCATACTAAGTTAATGTGTCTTTGATGTGTCAGTCGAAGTGCGAGACTGATGTATGTGGGACGATTCACCGAGGTTGCGATAGGCTCTGTCTCTGGCAGCACCCTTATCCTTTCGGATAGTAAGGCAGTTGATACCGAGGAAAGTTGTGATGCGGTTGATGACGAGGACCGCCCAGTGCATGTAGATAACCAGGGCGAAGAAGAAGTACACCCAGAGATACAATAGTTCCAACCATGGGGCAATGACTGGGAAGCCAATCATAGGCAGGTTAATGAGGACCGCGCCACCGATGAGGGGAGCTTGCATAATAGTCCAGAGGGGGAAGGGCTGTCTCAGAAGATGGGCCAAAATGATCATGGTGGTCATGCGTCCGAAGACGAATGCAATAACCCAGCAGAACAAAATGAGGTGGTTCCCGGAAAGAATTGTCGAGTAAGGCGAGAACAACCAAGCAATGTTGGAGAGAGTGAAGACGATCATAGGCACCCATTCCTTAAGCAACGGGGTGAACGCCAAACCCTGCTTCTTGCGGGCCTCAGCTACATTCATAACACATCCGGGGAGATGTCCGAGGAAGAAGCCACCCAGAAGAATTAGAACCCAGAGGTCCTTGATAGAGTTGTTGCCGAAGATTTGGGGGAAGTTAAGGAACCCAACGATGGGCTGAGACCACATTCCAGGGCCCCAGATTCCGGAGGCAATCATAGTTGCACACGCGATGATCAGACCCTCAGTCGGGCCATTGAAATAACCGAGGTAGAGGGTGTGGGTGTGGAAAGTCTCCCATGTCGAGAAATACATGGCCAGGCAAGGAACGATTGCTGTCCAAGCACCAAGTTGCGAGGCTCCAAAGCCCATTGCGGCAGTCGACAGCAGACTGGCTAGGGTGCAGTTCAAAGAGTCGATACCGTGGCTGTACCTGATTAGTTATCCATCCATGGTTTTCGGGGGGCGGTACAAACTCAAAAAGTTCCCCGAGTCCACTGGACGTCCCGGTTCGGCGTGCCTGTTTACCATCCACATTGTCGAGGGTGGAATACCTAGTTCATATGAGTTTGAATCATATAGATAGAGGGATAGGCGGTCACTCACATCCACATGCCAAGAGCGAAGCTGTAGTAAATCCAAGCGGGGCCCTAAAATATCTGGTCAATTCGCCACTTCAGATAAAACACAGTAAGGAACAGGAACAGGGATACTCACGGGTCCCACCATATCTGGCACAAAGATCTGAATGATAAAGATATTGGCCACGATCCACATGAACCCAAGAAGGGTCACCATGTTCGGGGCCATCCACATCGGCACAATTTCAACGAAGGCATTCCACTGAGCAGAGGAAAAATCAATTGTTTATTCTGAGGTAACGCAACTCCTGTAGGGGTTCAAGATTGTCATACGTAGTGCTTCAAGATATACCGAGAAATGAACGACTTGTCAACACTCGAGTACTTGTAGGACTTAAGGGGTAGCAGGGCATCGTCGGAGAGGGAATCCTGGGTCTCTGTAAGGGTCGAACGTTTGAATTAGCAAGTTAATGAGAATAAATATACTGGTCACAGTCTTCGTATCACTAACCTTGGACCATCTGATAGATTGCGTTCATTTTGGAAGATTAGGCCGTGGCACGCGCGGAGTTGTAGTATAGTCGGGGGGAGTAAACACCAACACCTCAGTTCATAGCGAGGTGCGCAAACAAGTGGGTAAAATGGACTAATGCACAAATCAAATCATGCCTTTAAACACAAATGTCGACTCTCAAGAATCTCAAGAATACGTGGAGAAAAGGAGAAGCGGGAAATGTCCCAGATGGATTTTCAGGTCGAAATCACGTGCCATGCTCCGCATCGGGAACGCGAACAAGGGAAGCTCGACTTGACCGAGATCTCACAGGAGTTGCCAGTGCATTGTTCGGACTCAAGTTATATTGCTGCATCTAAGTGTGCCCTCGACCTCATTAACTGCGCCTCACTTAACCCTTCGCCTGGCCTACGATCTGCCTCAGCGCTGTGCGATACTTGACCTGTGCACCATAGGCGCGTAATTCGCCCATCTCGCATTTCACCGTCATCTGGAGCTCGAATCTGCGCCACGCGAACTGCTCTTCGATTTCTTCCCGCCCCTGACGCTACAATCACCCATCGAGTCTGGTTGGATATGACGGTGGATGGTCTTCACAGCGCTCCCCGCGCATCTCGTCACTGAGGAATCTTCAGATCTTCACGATGCCGGGTGTTGAACTCCCCGTTGGTACCGCGGCACGCCCGTTTGATCTGGGGTTCAGCGTGGGACATCAGAAAGTCGAACTTGAGATAGATCTCGCTTCCAAAAGCCTGAAAGGAAGGACGGAAATCACAATTCATCCTCGCCGCCGAGACCTAGGAACAATTTGGTTGAATTTTCGACAAGGCGAGGTCAAGCAGCTGAGCGTTAACGGCAAGCCTGCAACAACAAAATACACCGATCATTACGACTCGCTACAACTCTACGGCGTACACTATCACGAACGACTGACACCAAAGATCGATAGCCTCTTACAAACTCCCCCAAGACCTACCCTACCCATCACGATTCCGAAGGGCGTCCGCATCGATGAACTGGATCCATCTTCAGCCGAAGCACAAGATCAAATCGCACTACAATCTACTGTTGACAACGTCGATGGCCCTTCAAGTAGCAGGGCGCCAGAGGCAAACCTTCCGCGATTTACGGCTCTGACAGTAAACATCGAATTTGTTATTGACCATATTCGGGATGGCTTACAATTTGTCGGTGTTGAAAATGGAGATCGACGGTATCCTCATGCCTATACCACCAACTCACTCGAGTCTGGCATCGGCTGCCCCTTGTTTCCATGCGTGGATGATATGTCCTCGCGATGTACCTGGGAAGTTTCCATAACATGTCCTAACTCTCTTGGTGATGTCTTCGACCGCAAGACCCAAGACGCGCCCGGTGCAGCAACCCCATCCCGCTCCAAAGCGCCGACCCGCCAACTTTCTGCGGAGGATGAGGGGCTTGATATGTCCGTAGTGTGCTCCGGCGATTTGACTGATGACATTGTGGACCCCAAAGACCACACCCGCAAAACAGTTTCGTTTGCCTCATATTCACCTTTGGGAGCCTTGCAAATTGGGTTCGCTATTGGTCCATTTGAGTATGTCAACTTGGCAGATTTCCGCGAAAGTGATCAGGATGAACAACTTGGCCAAAATGCTATTCCTTTGCACGCATTCTGCCTCCCAGGTAGAGCCGACGAAGTCCAAAACAGCAGTTTTCCCATGGCCCAGGCGATCGACTTCTTCTCTTTGTCGTACGGGTCGTACCCATTCGGCAGTTACAAGATGTGTTTTGTCGATGACCTCCCAACTGATAGCCTTCCCACTGCGTGCTTTTCTATTTGCAGCAGCCATCTACTCTTCCCAGCCGAGATGATCGACCCCATGTATGACTCTACTCGGGCTCAGGTGCACGGTCTGGCATGTCAGTGGACTGGAATCAACATCATTCCTGCTGAACCCTCGGATACATGGGTAACAGTTGGTGTGGCATGGTACATTACGGATACGTTCATGAGGAAACTTTGCGGAAACAACGAATACCGTTTCAGACTAAAGCAGATGTCTGACCAAGTCTGCGACTTGGATTATGAACGCCCCTCGATATATGACATGGGTAACATTCTCAAGGTTGATCCCTCCGAATATCGCTTCGTTGCATTAAAAGCGCCTTTGGTTTTGTTCATTCTGGATCGCCGACTGACCAAGGCCAGTGGCAAGGCCACCATGTCTCGTATTATTTCTCGGCTTTTCCTGAACTCTCGGATGGGTGATATACCCAATGGAGCTGTTACCTCCTCCCTGTTTCAGAAAACCTGTGAGCGACTGGGTCACGCAAAATTAGACGTCTTCTTCCAACAGTGGGTGTACGGCGCAGGATGTCCACGATTCCAGGCGACCCAACGATTTAACAAGAAGAAGCTCGTGGTTGAAATGATGATCAGACAGGTCCAATCTGAACCCCAAGCCCCTCGCGATCTCGACAAGGATTCCTTCTTGCGTGACGTGAAGGAAGAGGTCCGGCACGTCTACGCGGGCGCAGTTCAGCCGGTCTTCACAGGGTCCATGACCCTTCGGATTCACGAGGCAGATGGAACCCCTTATGAACACATCGTTGAAATCAAGGAGGGAGTGACGAAGTTCGATATTCCATACAACACGAAGTACAAAAGGCTCAAACGCAACAAAAAGCAACGAGAGAGAGCCGTCGCCTCGGGCGATGCTGAAGTCCAAGAAGAGGTTCTGCTCTACTGCTTGGGGGATGTCCTTCAGACAGAAGAAGAGACACAGGCTTGGCGTTTGGCTGACTGGACGAAAGAGGACGAGGAGCGAATGGGGCAGGAATCCTATGAGTGGATCCGCATGGATGCAGACTTTGAGTGGATCTGTAAACTGTCTCTCGGTATGCCAGGGTACATGTATCTCTCCCAGCTTCAGCAAGATCGAGATGTTGTAGCCCAGCTCGAGGTGAGTTATATTTCTGTTTACAACTATTGAAAACACGATACTAACATTTTCAGTCGTTACAATACATGACTGCTCAACGAGAGCACCCTCTGATTTCCACAATCTTTGTTCGCACTCTAATGGATAGTCGATACTTCCATGGCATACGTACAACGGCTGCGCGTGCCCTGGTGAAGCACGCTAAGGATGAGATTGATTGGGTTGGACTGCATCATCTTGAGATGGCATTCCAGGAGCTTTTCTGTCTCCCAGGATCTCCCATGACTCGCTCAAATGACTTCTCCGACCGAGCGGCCTACATTCTGCAACAAGTCATCCCTGATGCAATTTCGAAAGTCCGTGGCAACAGTGGGAAAACTCCATTAAGGGTGAAGCGATTCCTTTTCGATAAACTCAAGTTCAATGACAACTCGAACAACGAGTACTCAGACAACTTCTATGTTGCGTCCTTGATGAAGTCCCTATGCCATGCTATGCTCGGTAAGAGTGAGGCGCGCACTGATGAAGAGTTGGACCATTTCGATATGGAACGTGTTCTTGAGGCTCAGGCGGAGGAACAACTGGACAAGGATGCCATCGCCGAGTTTGACCGCTACCGGCGGATGGACGAATGGTCAAGCTCTTTCCAGAACCTTTACTCCCGAGCCGCACTTCAATGCCAGGCACAATTAATGCAAGCCAAGATGATCGACCTGGATTTGATGCGTTTCATCCCATATACCCGAGCAGGAACCTATGACCTTCTCCGCATGCAAGCATTCCAATGCTTGGTGGACCTGGATATTTCCCAGAGTCCGGAGCTTCTTCGTTGGCTCATGTTCACATTGTCAGCGGATTCTTCGGCCTGGATACGCCACCAATCTTTACGTTTGCTTGGTCAGACCCTGGCACATATTGCTTTTGGTCGTCCTCAACAAACTGAGGCCTTCCAAAATGATGGTTTAATCATTGAACAAGAATCATCCACTCAAATCCGCCGAGACGATATCGCACGACGCCAGACTATTCCTGGGGCCATTGAAGCCCTCAAACGAGAGCTTTCTGGCGACGCATCGATGAAGGAATGCATGTGGGCCGCATGCAACTCATCGTGCATGGGCCTCTTGGAGCTTTCCGAGCTCACTGACATTTGCCGTACGCTGTACGACCCAATCACCTCTAAGCTCGTGCGGATGAAACTTCCGCGATATTGGAGCGTGCAAAACCAGGGTCATGGTAAATTGCGTTTCTATCGATCTACCAAAGCCCGCATGGGTCCGTCTTCCAAGCGCAAGCGCGAGGATCAGGGCACGCACCCACCCTCATCAACTCGCATCACATTCAAACAGACCAAGACTGGCCTCGCTCCAGGAACGCCCACCCCAAATCATCTCCCCAAAATCCACATTCCCAGACCATCGCCTGCGCTAAGCGCAACTCCCAAAGCCCCTGCCACATCTACGCCGAAGCTGAAGCTCAAGTTTGGTGGTCGACCAACATGAATACCTAACGCTGTTCCTTCAAATATTACATGTATTTTAACCTTAACTCTTTATTATTTCCGTCCGTAGCCAGGAGGATGGAACCAAAGCATGCTCCCAGGCGCGATGTCGATTCAGCTTTATGTTCTGATTGCAATACCAGCTAGCTGTGCCTTATCTTCGTTCCCCTGTAATTTGCAGTGTAGGTATAGACAGTCAAAAGTCATTGGGATAGCCATAGTAGTCTAAAACGCGCCTTGGCAAAAGAGTAGAAAAAAAAGTAGAACAGAAAAAAGGTTTTGATTGTTCCCATAAGAGAAACCGACCCAGAAACTCCCAGTAGCATTAGATCTTTTCCCAGCACTCGGTGGTCGAGTGGTGCCTATGTGCGTGCCCCTTCCATCAAAAGAAACGTCGTAGATTGTGCGTAGATGAGTGGCTTATTTATCAGTAATGCGCTCGAGGGCCTCGAGCATCACGACGGAGTTTCCGCGAATGACCTGATAACGAGCATCTGTTAGCGGTGTTCTTAATATCCGTCGATAGGAATTCAACGCACGATCATGCCAATAGCGACCTTCTCTCCGCCTTGCTTCTCCTCGAATGCCTCATCTAGAACAATGTTCATGAAGACCTACGCGAAAACATCGTTAGTTATTCCCCGCTTGATCGGTGCTGTTTTTGTCCCGCCTTGCACGGCGCGCCAGGGGGTGGCCCGGAATCTTGAAAGACCAGGCCACGGAGTGTGAACATACATCATAGCCTCGGAGAATACCAATGACTTTGCGGTTGCCGTTCAGTTGGCAGAAGACCCGCTTCTCCATGTACTGCAGAAAAGACACGACGTCAGCTGAGGGCTCGGTCCATAATTAGCGCAGATAGGTAGGAACAGCACTAACCTTCTTCAATTCAGGCTGAGCTTGAGGCATATTGGGCGAGTTGGTTGGGTATCTTGGGGTTTGGCAAGATTCAAGTGACCGCAGTGGCTTTGGGAGTTTGGTGCAAGCTGTGTCGGAGAAACAATATTCCGGATATGAGATACGCGATAAGAGCTGCGGTTCTCTCAAGCTCATACGTTCACGCCACCAACTTGCATCGCTTGTTTCGCCTTACATGATTGCTGGGTAATTCCAAATATGAGCTCTAAATTTGGAAATCGCAGAAAGCCGCGCAAGGTCGGTGGGGATGACGAGGATGATGATGGAAGCGCTGCGCCAGGTATGTGGGCTACGATTACTTTTTTTCTATCCTAGATATTCGCCTACCAAGGTTGCAGCTAACATGAAGATTTGCAGAGCCAGTCGTTAAGCGCCCAGCTGCCTTTAAGAAGCCGAAGCAAAAGTCCAAATTGCAGTTATCATTTGGCGCCGAGACGTCAATGAACGATGCAGACGAAGGCAGCGAAGTGGTCATACCGAAACGCCACGGTCTAGGACGCAAGGCAATGGAAAGGAGCGCCGGTGTGCTGCCTTCGGTGTCATCGGAAACGCTTTCTGCGCGATTCGGCCAGGACCCAGACCGGCCTACCTACAGCAATGACTATTTGAAGGAACTTCGCGATTCCACACCCTCAACACCGAAGACAACAACCGACGACGAAACCAGCAAGGCTGTGGATGTTGCAGCGAAGTTTGGGGAGATTATGACTGTTCCAGGCCAAGCACATATCCCCAGCGAAGCCGAGATTCGGGAGAAAAAAGCCCGACGTGCACGCCTGGCTATGGAACACGGTGCTGCAGAGGACGAGTTCATTTCATTGGACGTTAACAATGCAGCCAACACCGATGACTGGGATGCGGTTGTACGAGGGGAGAAAGAACTCGAAGAAGAGACACGACTTGTTCGGGACGATGAGGACTTTGCCGAAGGGTTCGAGGAGTTCTTCACGGAGGATGGCAAGATGGCGCTCGGCCGAAAGGCAGAGCGCGAAAAGAAGCGGAAGGACCGTGAAGCCATGCGTGATCTCATCGATGATGCCGAGGGTATTTCCGATGAAGACGATTCTGACTTGGAGGAAAAGGCCGCCTATGAAGCCGCTCAGGTTCATGCAGCCATGGGTCATGGCAAGTCAGCCAACATTGATCGTCCGAAGACTCCTCCCAAGGTGACATCTCTTCCACGATTGGCTAGCAGTTTTGAAAGATTGCGCACGTCTCTTGCATCTATGGAAGTCTCAAAAACACAAATGATCAGCCGGATGGAGGAATTGAGGCAGGAGAAGGCAGATATCGCGATTCGTGAGGTAGAGATCCAGGCGATGATCAAAGAAGCTGGCGACAACTATGAGCGACTCAAGAAGGAAGCTGCTGTTGTTTCGAACGGAAAGCTCGATGCCTCCAGTGGAGCTCTGGAAAAGTCCCGAGGATTGGAAAGTATTGGCACTCCTGTGCATGTGCCAGTGAGAGGTTCCTCAATGTCGGATTCCTCGGATTCCAGCTTCGAGCATTCTTCATAACACTCTCATTCATGTACCTGTACCTACTTACCAGGTGGCCTGGATGCTCAACTTCATCTCAGTCATTACTAGATTCCCTTGCATCGTCATCGTGGAGTCTTCCTTGTTGCTTTTGATACCCAATGAACGAGTTCTGTATTATATTTCCATTTCCATTTCCATTTCCCTACCCTTAGCTTTTTTTTACCTTTTTTTTACGCAGAGCTACTCATTAGATTACCCGACGACTCTCAAAATACTAGTCAACACACACTATCGCAAAACGACCCATCTCTATTTGAAACCTGAGTTGACACCTCACTGACTGACTACAACGAGTAAGGCCACTGTGCCAATCAACGGCTGGAGCTTTGATCGATACAGGACCATTATGTACCCTATCGAAATTACTGCAACCTTGGAACAGGATTCCCACGCCATAAAGGACTCTAGGGTATACCAATATTCTGACATCCCTAGCGGCTGGGCAGCTCCAAAAGCGACATTTTACACCTTAAGCAAGGCTGCTTCGACTCTTCTAGCCAAGATTAAGCTTGTTGGGCACTCATGCGACCTGACCGTTATGTGTCTTGCCGCTGTGGGCATAATCCAGGCTATTATCAACCTGCGGTCTGCAGAACACGATGAATTTGCGACACCCAATTGCCATATTATGGCTCAGGTCGCTCCTTGTGACCGTGTAACCCTGAGTTTTGACTTCATACTGTTGACAAACATCACGCCTTGTTCAATCATTCTCTAACTAGTTAGATCTTCACACAAGTTACAAGTTGACTGGCGCCTTCATTCTGAAGTTGAGATGCGGAGAGCTCTAGTGGGCCCTTGCATTGTAATCGGATTCTATGCCATCCGTTGTCATGTCTGCATGGACCCTATGCTGCTTATCATTAGAGAAATGGTCAATCCAGTCACTTCAATTGTCAACAAGACGGTGCGGCCAGAGGGGTAGACCGTCTGCCGGTCTGTCCGTTTGCCTAATAGTTCCTCCTATTATGTTTTGGCAATCTCTTGCTTTGCATACGCGTCTTTCTCAGAGAATCCGACCTCCCTTTCCAGTGGTGTTTACCTACACGTACACATCAACAGAGGTTTGAGCGTTATATCAGAAATCCCCGGTGAACTACCATGTAAGAAGACCGGTTTTGTTTATTATATGCCCTAGTCTTTCTCTCAGGAGTTGCTAACTCCTGAGGCCCCTGGGTAACATTCTCTTTAAACTATAACAAAGGTTCAGCAAAGTTTCTGGAGTTTCATAGCCTTACCTTTTCCTTAAGAAGGGTTCAGGAAACGCTCGGGGGCAGCAGGCATCGTACTCCTATATCACTCTATTGGCACGATGATCGCTAGGATCATCATTGTAGGATCCTAGACGGGAAGCAATGGCTAGGCAGTGGGAGCATTTATCGCATCCGGGCCAACGAGTGAAATGGCCACGGGACTGCGAGCAGTCATGCTTCATATTTTAAAAAAAGCTTCTAACTTAACCACTTAGCCTGTGGCCCCTGGTGAACTCCATGATATCAATCGGGTTGGGTTAGGCTATCAGTTCGTGCGAGTACTCAGACCAAGTCAGTGTTCAGGTTATGCATTACTTGCATGGATTTGATGGCTTTGGACCTATTCTCCGGCAGCATTGGAGCATTATAAAAGTACAATCCCAGTGGTTCCAAGGTTACTAGTGAGATGATCACGATGGCTTCTCCTTCCATCAAGTTGAGTCCCCAGGGGAAATCCCGGTGCATGAGGTGCTACTATGTTGCCTTACAATGCGCTATTTGTTTACTAGGAAGCAGTGATAGGGCAGAGGAAAGGATTCAGTTCTCTTCTATCAAATATGAGACTACATCTGTGACTGGATGAAGCCTAGCATCCACGGCATCCATCACAACACAAACAGAGGAAGCGGGACTAGGCCTTTGCAATAAAGGCTATGAAGACCTAGGGTTTTGGAAGAAAGTCTGGATAATTTTTTATCCATATTTGGATATATATTCGGATCCTACCTTGCATAACCACTTTCTATAGTAAACCCTAAAACTAAAATAAAAGCTTGCACATCGTGCTACCATTTGCCGAAAGTATTATAATATGTATTGTTATATATTTTGCACCATCTTTAGAAGCCGTGGCGAGGGGTGTCTTTGTATGTCTCTCGTGTTCTGATTTGAAGGAGGTCACAGTCTCGCTGATACTCACAACTCCATACCTATTTTGAGGATCCTAGAGAACTGAACTCGCAGAAAGCAGAGCATTATTCCTATATATCTGCGCATTAACTTGATGCATGTTTCCTTAGCTACTTGTTGCTTTGGCTTGGAGATATGAAAGGGGATACTTTTGCATTCACCGGCTTCCGAATATATATCAAGTTAGTTGGACGCTTGCATTTCACTACCATCCTTCTTTTAATCTCTACTGATTATTGAGAACCCAAACATATATAGTTTGTCCCTCGGTTCATATTATACTCTTTATTGACCTAACATCTCATCACCTTCTTTGGACATTTTCCACCTGTCTACTCTATAATCCGTACTGTTTCATGACCTCCCCGACGCTATTGTACAATTTGACTACAAGACCACGGCCCAGTCCTTCCGTAGTCTACCTACAATCGAACTTCATTGAAACTACTCCCTATTGACCGACTCTTTGACTGGTTGTTATCCTGGAACGACGCAGCTGGCCGACGGAAGCGGGAAAGCGGCGGGGAGTTCAAACGTCTGGCGCACCGGGGATGGTCCTTACAGACTCCTTCTATATGGCATGTCCTACCAGAAAATAGTATGACTATGAGTTCTACAGGGGCGCTTGATCCAGTAAATAGACATCGTGTTCTTTTATTGCCTCGATATTTGTGAGACATTCTACCCTACTTTACACTCTCTTGAGTGGGGGTGGGTATATAAAGTGTCCTACTTATCACAGACAATACTAAAACAACCATTTACCTGATTGAGGGTAGGAAATCAATAACCTAGTCCACCAGTCATGTTCCGATCCCTGAGTAACATCTCCCTGGCACCCCATGCAAGGCTAGACAAGATATTACCGGCTGTAGAGGCCATAATTGAAAATTCTGACTCTAAAAATGCCGCATATTTCCCGAAACCTTCGGTGGGAGGTAAAATTTGTGAAACAAAAACCAACATTGTGTCACAATGTGTCTTTTTAACTGGGAGTTGTTAGCGCACTAACCGCGACAGTGCATAGCTACATGCCAGCAAGCCATGGCCTGGAATGCGGTAGGCTGGATGTTCCTCCCACCTCTGAATTGCGTCTTATGCCTCATCTAGATGCCCAGATTCCTGGTCTGCGACAATTATAGTCTCTGTTAGGAAGGAGCCGAGTCCTCATATGTGAATGAAGAAGAATCCTTCAGCTTCCATGTCTCAACCTCAAAACTAATTGCAGGGTTTTTGTTTCTGTTTTTGGCCAAACAGCCGATGCCCTTCATTTTATTGATCTACTTGGCATACTTGAGAGCTAAAAAAATCCCAGATAAACTACACTAAAGCAGGCACTAAAGTACCTACCCACAACCCCGGTATCCGGGATCCCCGAGCCCTAATCTAACCAATCAATAACCAACAGACAACCAACGGGCAACAGGCTGCCGAGAGACTCCTTTCAAATTAGACAACACCAACCTCTTTTTGCTTTTTTTTTTTTTTTTGAATTCTTTCCTTTTGCTCCTCCGCTGATCATCCCTAGGCCCACTGCTCGTATCAACACGACGCATCCAACCTGTCTGTTCCCTCCCCACCCCTCCCCCAGATTTGTTTCGGATTTATCTAGGTCTTAATACTGCCTGACATATAGTACATATCACCGGGTAAAACTGTCCTGAAAATAACACACAATAATAGGACTAACCATGATCTGCATATGCGGTAAATGAAGCCTAGCGGTCAATCGAGCACCTGGAACCTGGAAAAGGTAAATCCCAAACCCACTAGGGCGGCAACTCCACAGACATGTAACACCAACACAACATTGCTTCAAAGAAACGAAATTTACTCGGGGCTTTCCCACAGGATCGGGAACTGAGGTTATCCCCGCCTAGCTAGGAGGCCGGACGGAATCTTTGCGCGTTCGTGCTGCTGCAGGCTCGTTTCTGATCTTTCCGGTTCCCACGCCACCTAGGCCATCCCAGCGGTCGTTAAAGAAGCTTCTTTTAAATATACCCATTTTTAGGGCGGTGGAGATCTGGGGAAAAGGGCTCTGAGGCTTTTCTTGATAAGTTTGCGAAGTTTATTTATTTCTCTCGGCGGTTGTGGATGTTAGTGGTCTGTTTTGTTTTGATGGTTGAATTTACTCAAATATCATCCTACTCTATTCCAAGAATAGCACAACAGAAATAGAAATAATCCTGGCAAGGATCTTGTCGATCTTCAACCCTGAATCTCATAGGGCCTTTCATGAACTCATGTTGGTATAACGAACTCCTATGTTTGACGCTAGAGCCTCGAAAGACTAGATAGGTCACGTCCGTGGACAGAATCTTCTCCAGCAAGCTTCCAACCAGGAAATTGCTTTTACCAGCATCCTCTTTACATTGCTTTTTCTTAAGCAGGTTGGATTGGTCCCATTGGTGTGATTGGCCCAGATGTCACTTAGCTTTCCCCATAAGCTCTCTGTGTCTACCCGCTCAGGATGGAACATTCCAAAACTGCCCGAGCCACCGCCAAGTCATGGATATCTAGAGAGTTTGCCGATCAGGTAGACCTGCAGACGGGCGCATAGCCCTGCCTAGGGTTGTACATGGCGGAGATCAACGATATCCGCGGCATACTATACTGGGACCGTTGCCAACGGGGATTCCGGGGCCAATTCACCCAGCACCTAGGATAGGATAAAATGCAGATATAGAAGGCACAAGAAAAACAAATACCGAACGGAGATATATTGACTTGGGCCTAACGGCCGGGAGCGACGATCTCCTTCACGAAACCGTCGAGAATACAACCCGTCCACTCTTCGCTCTCGTTTCACACCTTTCCTAGACATACATTTGCCTCCCACGGAATCGAGGCTAAATCAAGACATGACGCTGGACAATAGAGAAAAGATCTGAAACGTTCGGCAAGTGGATCATGGGTATACGACCGGGGTCCAGCTGATTTGAGATTTCTGACCTGGCTAGGGTTCAGAAACCCTTGAGTACCAACCCATGTCTATATTTCTCTTTGTTTCTCTCTTTTCTCTACACGCCTAGAACAGGCCGAGACTCTTCTTGTTTATCTAGCAATGGCACGGGCCTCGATTGAGATTAAACGGGCCGAAAAGTTGAAATGAGCTGGCGGATATGATAGACATGGTTCAGATGCCACTGGTTCGATCAATCCATGATGTCTATTAAAAGACCTGAACAATATCTTGCCCTAGGTTTGCTGTACCTTCTAGTACAGTGATATAAACTTGATGTGATCCCATCCCCTATCCCCGACTTCCAACTTTTATATTCTATTCTGTCTCTCAAACAATCTCTCCCTGTTGGCAACCTGCAACCTGGGATATTGACACTACAGCAGTCTGGGGAGTCACCTTCTTTCTCCTAACGGTTGAGTTTCCGACAGATCTGAGACCGCATTGCATTTAACGGCTTGACTTATAGCCCAATCCCCACCAAGACCGATCTCTCAACAGCCGCATTGCCGTGCCATTGCGAGGCATAGCTGGTACTTGCGAGTCACTAGAGGCTTGTGACCACTTATTACAGTTATTTAAAGCGGCTTTTGCCCTAACCTTCCCTTGTGGTATTGCTTTCTGGCAGTCAATTTCCTGCTATCGTATGCATACGGTAAGTGATGCCCAATCAGTACTTACCGTCCTGGTGGAACCTCTCCATATATAACAAAGCGCTAACTTCTCATAACGGTCAGCCCTGCAGGTCTCCTCGAATGCTCCACACTATATCCAGTGTGCACTGGCCGACAAAGAGGAAACCTCCAGGATAGCGGTCGTCCACACCCAGCGACAACCCGCGTACAACACTCACCAGTAGTTGCGGTGAAGCGTGGAAGACAATAACCCATCTAGCCTACTCAGTATAGACTTTTTAATATTTTCATTTTTATTTATCATCGTCGTCAATATGGCAGACGTTCTTGTTGTGCCTGTGCCGAGGCCATGGATTGGTTATCCGAAGGAGTACACTCATGAGCCGGGCAAGCTTATATCCTCCTACTCGTCGGACTTCTATGGGAGTTCAGATGTTTTTGATAAACAATTTCCCTCTTCCTCCACTGATTGGTACTCAGTCTTCTACCCCTGCGCATCAAATTCCCCTCTGGACTTTCATTTACTGCGGCACCCTTCCCCATCACTTCAAACACAACAACGGCCTCGAAAGCCCTCTAAAACGATGCTGAACCTGCATAGTTTGCCGGGACATCCCATGCCTCTCATAGAGGACAGGCGCTACACGCCCCTCCGAGTGGAAGGCCCTCGCACTTCTGCATATTCGCAGAGTGTGTCTCCATTCACGACACAGCTGGACATCAACAGCACGCTTTCGAGCAACGGAAGCACTTATTGTGAATCTGACCTTGACCTACTTGACCACTGTGACGAGCCTTTCACCACAGGCAGTGTGGAAACACACGCTGGGCTAGTGCACCCAGCACCACGGAGTAACATGTTCCCGGTGGCTAGCAATCCCTTCCGCTTGGGCACTGAAGAAATGCCCTCTTTTTCATCATTTGGGGTTCCAGATACTCCGGGAGATGAGAAAGACTTTTCCAACTCTCAGTTCAATATCCCAAACTCAGACATCACCGACTATCCCATGAGCTCACCCCCCAATAATTACCCCCACAACCCACATCTCGTGCCTTCATCTACCACACGTCCAAATTCAAGGCCGGGAAACTGGGATGGGTATCTCACATGGTCTGGCTGCGCTCCATCAAACGACGATGATATCTGGTATCCTACTCGTGATCCTAGTGGCTCATCAGAGGATGGCGGCTGGCAAACCCACCACGGCTATAATGCACCTTGGCCCATCTCCAATGCATACACCTGCCCAAACGAGTACAATCCACCTGCAACCCATATTTATGGACCGAGTCACAGACTTCCCATTCCTGCCTTTGGACCTGTGCCTATGACTTTGGCCCCACCTGTGCCCACCAGGCCCATGAGCCACATCTCCCATTTTCCAGTTTGCGGAGTCTACGTACCCTCCATCGAGGCTCCTCAGTATCAACCTGAACCATACCCAATTTGCCTCGCAAAGCCGCAGGCAATTTCCTCAGACACAGAATTTGGATCCCCGGACCAGAAATCATCAAAAAGTCTCAGCTCATCCTTCTCTGCCTCAACCAACGAAGAGGAACGATCCTCGCAGCAGAGCGGAGAAGATCAAGCCATTATCGAAGCTGGCTTGCACTACACCGACGAGCGAAACACATTCCTCATTGACTGCAAGCGCCGTGGACTATCATATAAGGACATCAAGCGAGTTGGCGCGTTCAAGGAGGCGGAGTCTACATTGCGAGGCCGATACCGCACCCTCACCAAGTCTAAAGAGCAGCGCGTGCGAAAGCCTAAATGGCAGCATAAGGATGTGAGTTGAGAAACCGTTCTTTGTTTACTTCTAAAATACATCTGACTAACATGGCCCCATTCTTACAGATCCAACTCCTTTGCCAAGCCGTCACCATTCACGCGGAATCACACGATGCTTACAGTTCACTGACCAACGTCAGCGTCAACATGAATGAGCCCCCAAAGGTATCTTGGAAGAAGGTTGCCGAGCAAATTTGGGTGAATGGCGGATCTTATCATTTTGGTAATGCTACTTGCAAGAAGAAGTGGTGCGAGATTCATAACATCACGCTTTGATTTGGTCTTTGGATGGATATCCTGAAGGTTAAGGGTGGATTGGTTCCTTTTTTTTCCCATTTTGCTTCTGATATGCAACGATTTTGGCATTATTTTGTATTTTGTTTGTAATCAGCTGGTCTGAGTTTTTGTGTTGTAGCGTTGTCTTTGTATACTTTTCCTTTTGATTACTTTTGGAATGTTGGAATCTTAACCACATATATAATTAAGATTAAGTTACCATGTACTAGCTGATATCCAATGTGATCAATATATATTTTTATTGGGATCTATCTGCATGGAATTGGGAAAGCTTAAGTTTGGGCAGCTTCGGCATGCTGTCAGGTTATCGATGTCCTAACGGACATCAGCCTGATCCGAGCTCGCAAACTCGTCGCGTGATTATGACCCTGCAGTGAAAATCACATTTAAATAAACTAGCCCTCTTAGGCTTTCATGTCCTAATTGCAAGATGGGCCAGAAGTGGAGCGAGAATCCACGGTGCATCCGTTGATCTAAGATCCACTAGGAAAGTCTCGAGGAGCATGTCTATTGTAAAGTCATCCTCAATGCGATATAGATACAATCCAAGCAGAACCGTGGACACCTCGATACCCGATGCGAGTCTCCACGTCCTTTGTCAAAGCTTCTATCTAGATCTCCTTTGCGGTCTAGTATGACCGCCGGCAGTATGATTCTATGAACTCCTGTCTTGGGAACCATTTTCCGGAGGAGTCGTATGCCACTTTCACTACCGTGTACCTCTATGAACCGGGATGTGACTGGGAGTAAGCTAGAATCGGAGGATTATGCATGCTAGATGAGAAGGAGGTTTTAGGAATCTGAGGTATATAGTGGCTGGGTCAAGCTAAATGTCTTGACCGTTGTCCTGTTGCCACATCACTTGTCTATGCCATATATATTTGATGCTTAGTACATGGTTGATTTCAACCCCATAAATGCACTAGAACCTCTTTTTTTCGGAATATTTATGTTACTTAGGGATTTTTCTATCACTCACTGGTAAGTGAGTCTGCAGTTGTCCTAGTCCCATCCAATTACGAACCAATCAATTTTCAGTCGTTGATCGACAGCTTACCCCACAATCACAATATTGAGCGATTGCAATGCGGTAATGTGGGGATCTACAACCCCACGACCTCGTCAAAACGCGGCTGATATTGTAGGAGGCACCTCACATATAGCCGGTAGACGGCTTACGCAGTTTAGTGGTATGTATTTATTTCGCATGATTCGCTTTCAATGGCTTGGCTAGTCATGCGCGGTCCTGGTGGATGTTGGTCCTCTGCCTTAGGAGGATAGCTCGCTTCTGTAGGATTATCTGAGGCAAACAGTTCTCAACGATTCATCTCCTTTAGAAAGTATAACCCTGTTTCCTTTTTGCTTGTCGTTTCGTCTGATAGGTATGGAATCGCCATAATTAACTCGGTGGTTGACGTCTCGGATTTCATTAACCGGGGGCATCGATACCCGCTACCCCGGGCGGTCGCTCAATAGCCGTGGGGTAAAAAAATGCAATAGCCGTGATGAACATCAACAACAGAGTCGGAAAAGAGATATTTAACTAATTCCGCACTGCCAGCTTAGAAATGCAATTTTCAAATCAAGTTCTGCAATTTTTCTTGTACTAATTTGCCTGTTGGCCGTCATCAAGTACCTCTAAACCCTATTCCAGCCACCGATCCGATCTATACAATCCCAAAGTCCACCCAAAAGTCCTCTCAAAATGTCGAAACCAATTGTCCTCCATCTCGGCGACGACATCCGCTGGAATCATGATCAATACAGCAAGTTCAAAGATGCCTTCGAGATCCGCCGGTCCTACAGCATGTCTCGGCCGGAGTTTATCCGAGCCCTAAAAGAGCGCCAATTCGGCGACTTCTTTGCCATCTACCGCCCATTTTGGAATACCGGTGGCGAGATGGGAAACTGGGATGAGGAGCTTATCTCGCTACTCCCCGCTTCCTGCAAGGTCTATGCCAGTGCCGGCGCCGGCTTTGATTGGGTTGATACTGCAGCTTTGGCAAAGAAGGGTATGTATACAACATGGGACAATGAGAAAATATGAGTTACGGACAAATCGACTAACATTCATACTCTATCCAGGAGTTACTTACTGCAATGCTGCCGCAGCGTGCACAGAATCCGTCGCCGATGCCGCCATCTGGCTCATTATCTCAACATTCCGTCTGTTCTCTTGGTCACACATTGCCGCACGCGCCGTAGATGCCGATGCCTTTGTCGATGCAAACCGCAACCTGGCGATGGTCTCACATAATCCCAATGGACATACACTTGGAATCATCGGATTTGGTCAAATTGGACGGCGCACTGCCGAAAAGGCCTTCCTGGCCATGAACATGAAGATTCACTATCATGACATCGTCCAGATGCCGGCACACTTGGAAGCCGTCTCGAAGGCAACATATCACAAGGACATGGACAGTCTTCTTGCTGTTTCGGACTGTGTGATGGTTGCAACACCGTTCAGCGGTGAGACACTGCTCAATGCATCTTTGCTGGCGAAGATGAAGACCGGTTCGCGACTGATTAACATTGCCCGTGGTAAGCTGCTTGATGAGAGCGCTCTTGTCGATGCTTTGAAGAGTGGTAAGCTCGCTGCCGCTGGCTTAGATGTGCACTATGATGAGCCACGAGTTAGCCCTGAGCTCGCAGCTATGAAGAACGTTGAGATGATGGCCCACAATGCAGGCGCTTCGGTTGACTCACATATTGGATTCGAGAGGTTGGGTATGGAGAATATTGTTTCATTCCATCGGACTGGAAAGGCCGTCACGCCGGTTAATGCACACCTAGTAGCTAAAGCGACAGGTTCCAAGCTATAGACATTGTTTCTATTCAAATGGTATCATTATTCATTGTTTACCTTCCTGCCCGCGCGTTGTACTCGACGCCTACCTTTCCAGCGTTTCGATTGCAGGCGGTTTGGGGAACTATAAATACGTGATAGGCCCCAAAACGATCTTTCTTTCTTACAAACGTCTCCCATCCTCTGACATCTTACCGTCTGAACAAACTGCTTTTCCAAGCATCCCAATTCGTCATCCAATTATCTCAAGCGTGTTGTAGTATACCTCCACGCCCGTCCACCCCCACCACATAATACTTCTCTCCCACCGGTGTCTGCACCACCGTAAAGTAAGTAAACAAACAATTGATACATATTGGTCCAATTAACAATATACTAACATACCTTACTAATAGTATGAGCGCGCAGCCTGGCGGAGCTCCCCCTTCCACCGCCACCCCCACCAACACCCCGACCCGCATGCGTCAAGCCTTTGAGGTGGGCATCATCAATCTCCGGGCCAGCATGGACCGCCGCCAGGCAATGGCCGAGGGTGCCATCATCTTCGACATGGCTGAGTTCGAGGCGCTGAGCGAGCGCATCTGGGACACCCGGGTTGAAATCGCCAACCAGATCCGCCGTTGGGCCGACCCCCGCGACGCCGCCATCCTCGCCACCTTGTACCGCGAGCTGATCGGGACAATGCCCGATGAGGAAGGCGTGGTCCCCTGAGTGGGACGTGTTCTTGTCTTATGTTTCGAACCCTGCCCCACACAGGTGGCTGGTCCACCTGCGTGGGTCAGGGTTCATCAATGAAATTCAAATGCTGTCTCGCCAATTCTTGTTCTCATTATTAATAGTAAAGTGACATAGATCTCAAAGTAAACAAAAGGTATCATGCAACTCAGTAAACATAGTACATATCCTTCACTCCTTATGGTCATTGTAGACCACCTCCTTAGTTCTTCATAACAGCCTGTGGCGGCTCGATGCGGGCCGGTGCTTGGATAATTGCCCCAGGTGAGTTAGGTCCGAATTGCTGTACAGGGCCTTCGTGGGGATGAATTGCTACTTGGACGCCGCAGTTCGTACAGAAGTGATGCGAGTCATGGCACATTTCCATACAGAACGGTAGGAATGCACAGCAGATTCCGCCGAAGAGACAGCAGCACACCGCCGCCATACTACAAAGTAAACGATAGATTAGCATCATCAGAAGTAAGACCAATCAGAAATTGAGGCGAGGATAGATGAATACTCACTTTGTAGCACTAGTGCTCTCCTTGTTCACTCTGGTCTGAACCTCATGGAAGCAAAATGGACAACAGATACGTCCGGGCTCTTCACCAAGTTGTGCCAGTGGAATCACCCGCAGGGCAACTGGAACTTGCGGGCCAATTGGTGTGCCTTTCTCGTTGGTTTGAGGTAATGTAACAGCCGGAGCCGGAGTTGTGATTGCGTCTTTCTTGTGCCTGGTTCTGTTAGATCGGGCTGTTTTCTTTGGATCGGGAAGCATACTCATCGTATTGTGGTGGAGGTTCGTTCTCCACGGGTAGGATTGCCATTGGGTCGGATACCGGCAATGATCTTGTGGCCGTAGGCTCGGGCGTCGGGGTTGCTTCAGGTGCTGTCGGCGATGCTGTAGGTGATGCTGTGGACAATGATGTCGGCAATGCCGTAGGAACATCTGCAGGCGACGCTGTGCTATCCGCCGGCGCCGTATTTGGAGCAGTTTGTGCTTCTACTACAGAATCCGTAGCAGGTCCAGCGGCCGCAGCTGATGCAATCGGCATTGTTGACTCTTTGTTGTTTTCCATAGTGAGCAGTATATCCGTAGCTCGACAAAACAAAAACCAAGACCAATGAGTGCGAGGCCATCGTTCTTAAATATCAGTTTAGTCAAAATGTGGGGTCCAATCTCAATACGAGAAGCACGGTGTATCAAGGGGAAGTTGAGGCTTAAACACCATAAACGGCACAGCGTAAGGGTCTGCACGGCCAATTAAGGGGGACACGGGAATGAGACTAAGTATTTTGGCCAATCATGATGAATTTTGTATACATCACATGGTTGGCCCCCGGGTCTACGCCCCAGTACGGAGTATATTGCCCGGCCACGGACCCCTGTCTAGTGAGTTGACTTAAATTAGGCGAAGATAAAGCATAAAAGCTCTTGTGTAATGACTCACGAGCGACCCGGTCTATTCCTGTAGTGCAGTGCATCTGGTTAGTCAAATGTTTCACTTTCGCGTCTGGGGAATTATCGGAATTATCAATATTCTATTATGGAGTACAATGGGAAAATTAACATGGAATTTGGTTTCAAGACCGAGACTACCAGCATAACTCACAGCTAATAATTATCAGAAGGAAAATTGGAAGTATGGCAGGTAAAATCAATCCAGTCTACGGGACACAAAGGTCTATCATGTGAAAATATGGGCTTGTATGCATTAGGCCTAGTAAGTATAACACTTGGAGAGTAGATTCCAGACTGATTATACGATGTTGGCAGGTCGCATCGTCGTCGCTGTCACCCCGGCGATGACTATATTGATGGCGATTCATCTCTATTCAAATAGCGCGACCAGCCCATTCGCTCTCGTCTCTGACAAAAGAACACATTTACAAGACTTCCTTTTTACCAAAGTTCAGTCTGGCGACCTCGGAAGCCTCCATACCATCATATCCACTACCTTTACGCCCAGGCGGCGGCCAAGATATACGGAACCGCCAATGAAACCATGATCCCCTCCCACGATGCACGCTACCAAGCGACGAAGTTGACGAACATCACAGCCGCCATGAGGCTGCAAACTATGTGAGATCCCGAACTTCCACGAAAAGTCACAAATAACTACCATCATGGCAAAAAGGGTACCTCATGATATCCGGCAAGATAATGACATCTCGACCAGATCCATCTCAAATGACTAGTGGAGAAAGCTACATCCGCTAGATTAACATCTTATCTATCAGGTTTACCTGCAGCAGTGCCCGCTCATTTTCCGAAATCGATCCAGTCGCTCTACAAACAAATGGACAGAGGCAATTGGGGTTCATGGAGTCACGTGCATCCAGCGGCATGTTACCCTTGCAATGAAATCTACATAAAAAGACCGCGAGAAAGCTCTATCTACGGGAAGGACATTTTCTCTATCAGGGTGTACTTACAGCAACGCCCACTCGTTTTCAGATATCGATTCCGCCGCTCTATAATGACATGGACGCAACTAATTGGAGTTTATGGTGTCACGTACAACACTCTCAGCACCTGCCTATCTAGGAAGGCGTTCGTTCCTGCAGATATATCTTCTTTGTTTCCGCTCTCAACATCTGCTGGTCTTTGGGATTCCGCTTCTCGCTTCTCATGGCTTGTGTTTGGTCTAGCTCGGGGTTCACACAATACACCGAAAAGGAGGGAAAATGGGAAAGCACCAAACTATCACCCCTCCGTTTTCCTACACAAGTTTGGACAAAGGTTCTACATTTCAAATGATCTCGTTTCCTCTATCTGGTGCTTTTGATTATTGATATATCTCTGGCTCTTGAAAACTTATGATGAACGGGCAGGATGGCTATATCTGAACAAAGGGAATATTCATGGATGTCTCTGGTTAGTAAAGTAGGTTTACCTTTGGTTGGGTTGAGCTGCTGTTGGTGTCGGTGCTATTCACTTTCTATGACGGCAAGCAGTGTTACTGGCCCATTGACTGTCTTCCAGGTCTCTTGATGAGCCGATGGTAGAAACACCTCGAGAACGAAGGTCTCTCATCCCTGTCGCTCCCACGACATTCATGGTAGGTCCCTTCGTACCTACATCCATGAACTCAATACTGGTATCACGGGGAAATTTTGGAAGCTTCAGTGGATTACTAGATGCTTCGGGTACTATGCGGGCAGTGACTTGGGACATGATCCTTTGTGATAGAGACCTCCCTCTATCTTGTCCTTGTTCCGTATTCAGAACCCAGATTCTTCCAACTCCAACTTCTCTTCATGTTTATGCAGCATATAAAAACAAGGTATGTATGTATTTTCCATTGGAAGATCTTGACTAAATTTTGTTTTGATATCATGTCGATGACAAAAATACAAGACTAGATATGCATTCAATTTATACACCTCACGCAATTCCATCCCGGGTATTTGATTCTGGCATGCAAGTATTCTCCCACATCCACCGCGTAGCTATACAACAACCCCAGAAAACTATTCACAGCGAAGGCCCGCGAGAATCCGTACGAGGATATCCAATCGTAGCAAGAACCTGCGTCAAATGTTCCGGGTTCTCACGCAAAGCATCCCACTCACCCTCAGCCTTAACCATCAACGTCGCAGCGAGGATAGTACCATTCAGCGAGAGCACGCCGGGATCAACGATATCGCGCGTCGCCGCGCTGTCGACGGGGACAAGTGCGGTTTCCTGTCTGCGCGGGCAGATCATCATCGTCGAGCGGGTCATGGCCAGGTTGTAGCTTATAGACGATGGTCCCTGTGTGGGAAGGGACTCAGTGTCCTGGCTCGGTGTTCGTCCACGCGTCGCTGCGGCCGCGGCCTTGTAGAGAGTGAGATAAATTGCGTGCAGGGTTTCAGCGGAGGGGTTTGGGGGGATTGGAAGGGCGAAGTGGGCGAAGGGGAGACCTGGGAGGTGCTGGAACTTCGGTGTTGGGGATGGGGAGGTTGGTTGGGAGGTGAGGAGGTCGATCAGCGGGTGCCAAGACTCCGAACCTGGCTGACGCATTGCTTCGACGGGAAGGAATTGGAGATGGCGGTGTGGTTGGCTTGCGCCGCTGTCATCGCCGGAGTTGAAGAAGGCGAAGAGGCTCTTTGAAGACAAGCCGGTTGTGGATCGAGAGCCATCGTCGTTGGTGTTCCAGGCTTTTAAACACTCGTATGTAGCTTCGAGATCGGACTTATCGAGGATATCGGTCTGTGCTTGCCAGTCTTTTGTAACGAGGAGGAAGTGGTTTGGGATGACGGGAAACTTGTTGAGGATGAGGTTGTAGGCGGGGTTCTCGGGCGGGAACTGGGCGATCAAAAGATCTGGAGATGGATTCTCGAAGGGATCGGGCTTTGGTGTTTTCGGGCCATTGTCGGGTTTCAAATTTGAGGGTTTCTTTGCCAGAGCAGGGCAGTAGCGAAGTTGGTACTGGGTTTGCGGGTTAGAGATGCCGTGGTCGGAGTCTTATCGTCACTAACTGATATCCCTGCCGCATTAATGATGGACAGATGGGTTGAGGAGAACACAAGATGGTCGGTATCTTTAGCAGCTGTAAAGCGTCTTGCGACGAGGGTGGGGAGAGGTTCTGAAAGTCCTAATTGCATCGTGGAGGTTGAATGGAGTTGAGACCGGGGGAGATGGCGGAACATGGGGGTGGAGATCGGCAGACGGGGTTCTACCTTTCCCTTTCTTTTAGGCTTTCTACTGGTTTACGCTATACAGTTTGTAGTTGTTTCTTCAAGGAATTTATATGGAATGTTTTTTGTTTAATAAATTTGCAATTAGACACTCATTTTAGTTTCCAATTAATAGTGTCTTGATAGGATCCCGACCAGCAGGATCTGGTATACAGGCATATAAGACCAGCCTGAAGACAAGACAGAAAAGCAAAAGTCATTCAAACATGTCAATCCCAAGGTATCATCCATAATCCGCACTCGGACAAATCGCTCATCAAGACGCCACTGCTGTACGGAAATATGAGACAGAAAAATAGACACGAAGGGGAGAAGGAAGATAGGGAGTAGGGAGTAATAAGGAGTAAAGGGGGGAAACACAAAAGGAAGTCGTTTAAGCCATTAATTCATTGAGGGAAATCTCATCATCGTGGGACAGTTCCGGTAATAGCATCGCCGGCTGACCCATAATATGAGGCGAAGGACCGTTCATCCAAGGACCACGTTCCTCCTCGGTGGCACTCAGCACACCCTCGGCACGCTTCATCGTCTCGACATCCAGATCAGTGACGTAGGCATCACGGTTGGTGCCATCGCCCGCCCCACCGGGGAGTCTGAGACGGACCTCGAACTCGTTATTGAGCATCATCTCATCTTTCCACAGACGGCGTTGGCCATCAAAGACACACAGAACACGCTTCTTGGTCTTCATGCTGCCACCGGGGCATCCCCAAGACTGCGGGTAGTTGCCGCGGTTATTGCGGCGACGGGTTGGGACAGTGCGGGGGGCCTTGGAGGAATTCTTGGAGACGGCATTGCCGGAGCCGATGATAGGTCGGGAGGCAGGGATGTTGCCCTTTGATGATCTGGGCTTGGTCTTCAAACCGCGCCAGTTGGAAGGGTCATGGGTATCGTCGTCATCTTGGTCTTCATAATCGTCGAATTGGTCGACCGGGCCAGGCGCGTCAAGTAGTTGGTGCTTCTCCATAGTCTTTTTGACCTCCTCGTCGGAAGCGACCTCTGCCAGACGCTGCTGGTTGATGGCCTCCGAGGGCTCTTCTTGCTGCACAACGCGGAGGACACAGTCGTCCAGATGCTCGTAGAAGTCCTGCGCGTTGCTGAAGGTCGATGAACAGGTTGAGCACTTTCCTGTTGCGTCGGGGCTGTAGTTGGTGCCCTTCTTCGTTGCCCCGGGGCTGCGCTTCCGGCAGTTTGGTGGGGTCTGTTCAACACCGTGAACGGAGGTCAAGTGACGCTTGAAGACATCGGCGCGATTGAAGCTCTTTTCCGCGGGGGAGCCGGAGCCCGGGCAGAAACCGCATACCATGGTCCCTTTGTAGTGGGTGAGGGTGTGGCGGTTCTTGTCGTACTTGCGGGCGAAGCCCTTGATGTGGTATTCGCAGTTCAGGATTGGGCACTTCTCGGGTCGCTCAGACTGGTGAGTCAGCATGTGGGCTTTCAGGTCTTTGAAGACTCTGCCACAGTCAGGGTGTGGGCAGCGGCCTTTTTCTTTGATATCTTCGTCAGGCTCGATGCTGCTAAGAGCCGGGCTGTGTTGCGAGCGTCGGGAATGAATTGATGAGATGGACGATCGTCGATCATAGATCGACAGGGGTCGTGAATGCGACCTGTGTGGGACCATGAGGGGAGATGGTCCAGTGTGTTGTAATGGGTGTGAGTGTGGGGAGGTGTGATGGTCTGCGTTGTCATTATATGGGAGAGGCGACGGGGCGGGGGGAGTGAGACATGTAATTGGGTGGAACGTTTGAGTAAGAAGAGGTGGGTTGGTCGGGATATGAGATAGTCGGGGTGATTCCAGGTGCTTGTTGCGCCGGCTGGATCAATGAGGGATCTGGTATGCATTGTCAGTACAACAGACAGCTTTTGCGATTGAGTATCAAAACTTTACCGACAAAAGGGTCCGGGAACTTTTCTTGGTAGGGCATTTCCATTTCCAACGTACTTCCCATGTACTCCTGAGAGAAAAGGTCGTTCATCACTGCGGCTGGCAAACCCAATCCGTGGTTCGTATTCACCCAGTTCTCCTGGAAGGCATGCGCGGTTCCTGAGTATGGTGATCCCATTGCCGAAGAGGATGCGCTAGCAATGGACTGTCCTGAGGCAGCAGACCCGGTGGGAATATATGGCTCAGCAGAGTGAGAGGCAGAAATTGAAGGGGGTGTGGCTGGTATAGAAGAAAAATATGTAGGATTTTGCAGATCTGCAGACTCCAACAAAGGGTGGGTATCGTAGTACGAATTGGAAGTATGGGACATCTCATGGCCTTGTGTGTAGTTGGAAAGACTCTCAACGGGAAAAGAGAACATAGAGGGGTCCATGGTCATGGGATCGAAGTATGGAAGTTGTTTAGGCCTGGTAGCTTCAAGGGCCATCATCTTGGGTCGAGCGTGGAAAGGGAAGAGAGTGAAATCGGTGTGGGATTCAAAGCTCGTCATCTCCTTGATTAAACAATGCAATGCGCGATGGCGATCCTAGACACAAAAAAAAAAAATAGTCAGTACATGCTATTTCAGAGGATTGCAATTTTGCGACGTATGGACATACCGGTGATAAGGTTCCTGGGTGAGATCGCGGCCCGCTCGGCTAACCAAAGACACCGACCACGAAAATGAGGCAACGTGCGCAATTGACAGAGAGAATAGGGTCTCATGCAAGGAGGTAAGGAGGTACACTGTATCGCGAGGCAGGGAGGTCACATCCAAAATGAATGCAACTCCACAGACACGGGTAGTGAAGCAATGTCGATCGACAGAGAACAGTCGAGGGAGACAAGGTTTGATAAGCGTATTCCCGAAATGGTCGAAGACGAAGATTGCGCTAGATTGTCGAGTGCTATAAATTCATGACAGACTTGAGGGAGGGAAGAGAGGGTATTATAGATTATCAAAGAGAAGGAAGCATTGTCAAATGGTGACGATGGGCCCGCCGTACAGTAGTTAGTTATAGTCTTGTGTCTGGAAATTATATTTTTTGTATTTTTTATTTTTTTTTTAAAAAAAAAGGAAAAGAAAAAGGAAATTGAAAATTGAATTGAATTAAAAATGAAATGAAAAAATAAAAATAAAAAGTACTCCAGACTAAACAAAAAAAAGCAAATAATACATAAAACAATAAAATATAATATAATAATATAGTAGTAATATAATATCATACCATTACATACCGTATTTTTTTGGCACGAACCAGTTGAACGTGTTGGGGCTGTGAACAGGGACAGGGACACTTAGCGCCCATGCAGATAAATTTGGGACCCTCGGGCTATTATTACTATCTGCACATGGGAATCCTCGAACATGGGTCTATATCTGGTCTGGATATTATTCTATTATTCTCAAGTAGGTAATTACCGTCGATTAGTAATGTTGTACCTCTAGTTATCTACTCTAACCTCAGAGGATATTTCAAATCAAAGGAAGAGACTTGTGTACACACTATTTTGTACTATAGTATGCACGGTACCCCCGTACTCCATAGTTGTTTTGTCTAGGCCATCGGCCCAGCCTTCATCAGGCGCCCAATCTCTGCGATCCCGTCAATAGTCAATATATAACCCACTATATAGTCGTTATGGGTTCTGACAGCTCGCCTACCTTTATCCACTTTTGGCTCATTCCGCCCTACGAGATATGTACGATTTCTGAATGTTTATTCCGGAATTCCGGTGGAAGCAAATATTGGTTTTTCCCAAAGTACCTGCATTGAGATAGATCGTCCATCGTGCTCAGAAGAACCAAATTTGTCGATGGCGCATATTGAGATCCATGGATGAAAAGCAATTATAAAGTTACTGGTCCTTTTGCTTCGAAACCTCTGCAACACTAACACAAATTAGATTTTTGACGGGGATCAGGAGAAGCCTCCTGTCAGAAAGTCAACCGTTGCACGAGAATGAATTGCAATGTACGGAGTATAATAATGATTAATTGCTAATTTTCTTGTCATCGGCACCTCCGTTCTGCATAGTAGGTAGGGGCTCGCTCCTGTGGTCTTGGCGGCCCCTTTTCCCCCAGACCCTCTTTAGCCTCGTCACCCCGGTATGCATATACGCATATACGTGTGGACCAGCTTACCAGGGTATACGGAGGAGAATGGAAATCAACATCTTAAGGGGGGGAAATGTCTATCTTGTACTCTCCAAAAATGTTCTATCCCGCCAGTGCGGGTCAGACTACTCCATACCCGTCCAACTCTCTTTACATCAAATCATGGTGGAAGGAAGAGCGGGACTACAGGTTAGTATACAAGCATAAGGTAAGACAAGCAGAAAGTATAATGGACCAGATCTGGGGATGTACCCTTTTTCTGGGAGAACTAGCAAGCAAAAAAGAACAAGGATGAGTTTTGGGGATCTACGGAGTATGGAGTAAGAAAAGACGAGAAAGGACGGTACGGAGTACTCCGTACTATACATATAACACACAAATACAAATACAAATCGAAATTCCACGAGTTCGGTCGATCCGAGACGGGACCCCATTCATTTAGCGTCCCCCTCCATAACTCGGCAGGCCAGCCGCGTGCCCAGAGGGTGATTGGCTCATGTGTCACGACCCAATAAGAAATGAAATGAGAGATTCCTAACTCCCCTCCAATCAGATCCCTGAAATGCCTTCCGAGGACTTGGTGGGCATTCCTTAGGGCGGTCGATTGGGTGGGTTAGTGTCTGTTTCACACGCTATTCCTTATTAGTAACCATGGCAGGCGATCATTACAGCATGTTGTATCAAGATTGATTTTTTTTCTGGTAGTTCTCCTCGGATTTGCTCGGGCGCTGTACAAGAGCCGCATTCTTTTTGGTGATCGCGATTTGGCCTGCTTCATTTTGGTTGCCTTTTGTGCGATTTCCTAATTAGTAAATCAGGGCAGCAGTTCTCCCCTCCTTGTTGTATCTACAACTCACAGGATACTATTCATCTGTCACGACATACGTCGTATATCTACAGATAAATCTCGTATATCCCTTGATCACTGGGTGTTACATATCCGAAGAAAACTAATGGTGGGTCTGCCCAAAATGGATGGATGAATGTCAATCTATCATTATTTTTTTCCGGATGCACGGTGATAAAGTGACATTTCTCATTTTTAGGTCAAAATCGGAGATTCAATTGCTGATTAATATGGTTTTGATTATCAAGATCCCATCCCTTAATGTGCTGTTGACACAACAACACCGAGGTGATTAAAATACCACGAAAAGAGGACAGAATCTCGGCGCCTTGACCCTCCCCTCCGCATTTCCCACTGACCGTATTCATCTAGACTATCTACACTAATTACGCCATATAGCCCTAGCCGGTACAGGGGAAAAGTGCGAGCTGTCACTCGGAGTGTCCGTGTTTGGCACCAAAATACAACTAGCGCCACATATGCCTAAGCCACAGACCCATACGGGTCTGTCCCAATCATAAGCGAAAAAAGGCGTTCTTGGAATTCGTCACATAGCCAAACAACATAGGGAATTGTTGATCCACATCCCTGAAAATCAAGGCGCAGCTAGTTAGATTACACCGCTGACTGGGGGAGTTCGTATTTATCGGCGATCCCGGTGGTAAAACCCCCGTGCATATAATGGATCTATTCCCAGACTAGTTAACAGTCATGTATGCACAGTCTAAATTGTTAGATGCTAAACTGGGGGAATGAAGTCATATCCGGCCCGTGTGTTGGGTTTGACCGATTCTTTTACCCAGGTTTTGCGGGTTTGAAAGCCTTGGCCTAGTTAAACTGGCGGTCGGCATCTGGGGATTTGCCTTTCGCCCAGGCTTTGACATATGTACCTACCCGGGCAATGGGTTCATAATTGCAGATGCTAACTTACCGTTAACCATAATTATCCTAATGATGAATGGCTACGGAGTACTCCGTACCTCGTACAAAGATATGTCATATGTAACAAATAATTATCTTCACTGGTGATTTTCAACGTCCACGTCAAATATAAACCCAAAAAACGTCCCCAGGCGCGTCAGCCAGTCAGGACCAAGAAATGGCTGTTGATTAAGACTGTCACTCCTTCACACGTGTGATGGGGATATCCTACTTGATCCAATCGTTTATCGAATTTGCTATCCCCGTTTTCCTTTTGGCCCCCAACTTGTTAGATATTCCCGCTAAAACACTGAAACACATGTGAAGCCACGCAAGTGAATCCGACATTCCAGGCTCTTCTTTGCTTACGAGGATGATTAGAGAGTAGCCGAGATCCTGCCGTCACCACGGCATCGGGACCGCCGTATTCCCGCCCGCTTCCGGAACTGAGACTAGGCATGGCATATTGGCCCTAGTTAATTACTACTGAGATAACATGTATGCTAAATGGGAGCCCAGTCCGGCGACTCCGAAGACTTCCCCTGTAGGTCCACCATATCGAAATTAAAAACACGACAAGAAAAGAGGCTCTTAATTAGCCTTGATGCCACCCCTCCAAGATTGGTTGATGAGAGGTGCCCAATGCGTCAATGCTGGCGTTTGGGAAATGAGGTGCCAACCAATTTGGAAAATGTACCTGGGTATAGTTCAGGAGCCTCCGGTCCATGGTTGACTCGAACGGAACCATGGAACTGCCAACTTTCTTTTATCACGTTATCTTCCCGATGTCCAACCTTGGAAGGTTTCACCTGTTGAACTTGTTGTACCTACGGAGTACATTGGTACTTAGGTCCATATCTAGGTACTACCAACTTCAATATTTGTCATTTGTGCTCGGATCACCCTCGGACCAGCGACGATCTCCAGAGTGGCAAATGTCATCCCCCAGAGCTTGGTAATCCCCCAGTTTCGCGGTTTATCACCAAAACCCAAAACAGGTCCAAGAATAAACCAACTCTAAAGTAAGCGGTTAAACATCGCAGGTGCAGTAAAAATCCAAAAAATGCCACATGTAGGTTCTAATTTTCTAAACTCAGTCCACCACCGACCCTGAACCTACGCGGCCAACTACCGAGCCCAGAAGTTGAGCCTCTCATGCTATTCGCAGCATCGTACATACCAACTGCGGCCCTAAGCCTTACAGGGGGAGTGGGCAGGATGGGGGGTGGGTGGGGGGAGGTTTAATCCCTGCCCGCCCTCGTGGTGTTTCTAAAAACAGAAGTGAAACGGGGTGAAACAACCCGACGAGGAGAAGATCAACATCAATGAGGCGATCGTATATGCATAGACAACCCAGTCTGGTCTGGGGATTCCGGATAAGGCAGGTAAGTTTTTTTTAGGAGCACATGCAAGTGCACGCCATAAAAAACTAAACTATTTTGACGCATGTTTATTATTCTTATCTACATGGTTACATTTCTGGAGTTGGCAAAGTGGTCGGCGAAGTCATGGTTCATGGTTTATTTGGTCACCGCTGATAATCGTACAAACTTTGAATTTACCA